CTATCAGGATATCAGGATACCAGAATACCAGGATACCAGGATACCAGGATATCAGGATACCAGATTACTAGAAATCAGGAAAACCAGAATACCAGAATACCAGGATACCATAATACCAGGATACCAGAATACCAGGATACCAAGATTCCAAGATACCAGAATACCAGGATACCAGAATACCAGGATACCAGAATACCAGGATACCAGAATACCAGGATACTAGGATACCAGGATTACCAGGATACCAGGATACCAGGACAGCAGAATATTAGGATACCAGAATTTCAAAAAACCAGGATAGAAAGATACAATATCGGGATCAAATATTGAAAATAGGTCCATGTTGAAACTAACTATTTACAAGGAAATTAAATTTACTTAAATTTGAATGAATGGATAGTTAAACCCCCGAGGGATTCAATGATAAACCTGAACATTGGTTATAATTTTTCTCAGAGTAAATAATACATTTTTGCAAATTTCATTACAACAAATAATACTTAAAGGGATTGTTCGCGAAAATGAATGGAGTATTGGCTTACGGTGAAAAATCTTCGCTTTTGATTGCTACTATTCTTACTTTTATCTGTTGCGTCTATAAGGAGAAAATTGTTAGAAACAACTAATACTGAAGAACGTAGCGTCCATACAAATTCAGAAAGTTACAATATACGACTCGGATCGTAAAAAATCAATTTAATTTCAAACAAATCATTCAGATATTACAACCTACAGTCATCGTTTATTTTTTGACTTATTTTTAAATAAATATATTTCATATTATTTTTTTATTTGTTTTGTATACAATGCACTTAAAACGCCGAAATAGTTGGCTGCCAGATGTCTCTGCTCTCGATGCTTTGAATGATTACACGTGGCAGAGACACCTAGCGGCAAAAAAGTCGTTTGAGGTGCATTGTATATAAACAAATAACAAATATTATAAAATATAAACTATAAACGAATGAGTCGAATAATAATCGATGACTTTAGGTTTTAATCTGAATGATTTGTTTGAATTATTTGAATTTGTATGGACGCTACGTTCTTCGGTATAAGTCTTTTTTAACAATTTTCTCCTCATAGACGCAACAGATAGAAGTAAGATTAGTAGCGATCAAAAGCGAATATTTTTCGCGAAGACGCACTTTAAAGACAAATCATTTTTCGGGATAGTTATTTTCAAAAAGAATGAGATAATAGTGAAAACCATAAAATTGCTGAACTAGATGAAATTAAATTGTTTTTGATGTTGTTACAAAACAAATATTTTACTAATCACCTAGTTGAAGTGAAATGGGACTGCATGTAGTGTGTGCACTGCACAATTCCTCTGCCTCATGTTCATTGAACTATTTAAAGTTAAAAATTGAATCTAAAAGTCGTCTTTTATAATGCAGGATCTTCTAGTTTTATCGTAAGTTGAGAATGGCTCGGGCCAATTGAAATTGTGTTGATAGTTCCTTTCAGAAATTGATACGACATTGTATGACTATGTTGATGACATTTTCATGCTAGAAATAAGTTCTCATTTGCAATAATAATTTGCATTTTAGTTTTTTCAGTTCTTTATTTTTTACCCATTTGTATAATGTACACAATTGGACATGGGAATTTCGATGAATCATTTCAAAACATCTGTTTTTAAGAATAATTGAAACATTTATAAAAATTATTTCTGTTAATTTCTTTCATACTTTTTTTCACGGAATACTTTTCATTTTTTAAATTATTTACAGAAAATCATAATTAATTCTAGTTGAGCTTCAAAAACAGGTCCATGTTAATACCTTTTCATTCTTGAGATTAAAAAATGTAAAAAAGGTAACTACTTTTACATTTTAAAATTCAGTTTGTTAATACTTTACTGTCGGTGACTCAATATTAAGTACGCTGTAGCAAATATATTCCAACTGTTAATTTCAGTGTTTAGTGTATACAGTTCATACATGTATTCATATATATATATATAGATATTATATATATAAAAATTTAAATATTTTAGTCACAGTTAGTTTTTCACCTATTTATGTGTTAGACGTACTATTCATTAGTTTTAGAACAATGTTTCTTGTTGTGACAAGAAACAAAATTGCTATAGAACTGTTAAAAAACTCTAAATCATTTATTCTTGCAACCCCGTTGGTGAAAACATTTGATTTAACACATAAAATAAAATTCTTAAGCCTTAATTTAATGGTCGTTTGTACGCTTTAATTCTTTAATTTTAACAAAATATCTTAATCTTTACTATTTCATTTTACTTTCAGGCATTTTAATAATTAGAGACTGTCAGCGTATTTTATGTGACCTTCCTTGTACGTAAAGATGGCAATGCCCGTTACAAACCGGTTCCCTTGATCTGATTAATCATATTGTCTTTTTTTATGGGTTAAAAGTATTTAATGCTGATAATTTCTATTTGTTTTATTTACTGCAGTAGAAATGCACAAGGATCTGAAAGGAATTAACTAAATCTCTTGCAACTCTCATATTTTACGAACTTTTCGGAGGGTAGTCTTTTCGGAGGGTAGTCTTTTAAACCAGACCCAGCCTAAGGCCTAAATGTTTTTGGTTTCTTCAATTTTGATCTATAATGTATAACAATCTTCAATTGTTTAGATTTTATGTTTAATAGGTCAAATTGTGATTGAAAGGGACAGTTTGCTGGGACAAGGACCGAAAACTTAGATCAGTGTAATTTATCTATAACAAAATATTATTTACCGACATAGGGTCAAACGACCCAGGGTCAAACGGCATAGGGTCAAAACAATATACGGTCAAAAACACGACAAAGGGTAAAACGACCGAAGGGTCAAAATGGAAAAAATATGTTATGCATTTTTTCAGGGTTAGGATAGATTATGACAGTTTCTGGGCCGAGCGCTCCGGCTATGACATACTAGAGGGCTGAGCGCTACGGCTACTAGCTCTAATGAACATTAAAATAGTTCAAAGTAACCAACAAATAGTTAAAATGAAATTTTGCCCGTTTGTCGCACTTTATTGACCCTATGCCGTGTTACCCTTTGTCACGTTTTTGCCTGTTTGTCGTTTGACTCCTAGGTCATTTTACCCTTTGTCGTTTGACCCTATGGCATTTGACCCTAGGTCGTTTGAGCCTAAAATTAATTTAGCAGCTTTTTTACTTAATGAAAAAGAAAATTCATATTCTTTTAAAAATGTGTTTGGTTTAATTTTCTTCCTATACACAACTGTATTTCTGAATATTAAGTTATTCTTTTATTCAAAATCTAGATTTAATTCATTGTTTTCTGATTCTCTTTTGCATAAATATTAGACCTGAGCTGAAAACTTTAGAATGGTGGATATCAGGATTAAGGCTTAAACCACTCTTTTTCTTAATATCCAGTTTAAATATTGCTTGTTCTTCACATGAATTTAAACTCCAGAGAAGCTAAACGATCGGATATCTGGATATTTCATTCTAAAGTTTTCAGCTCTGGGCAAATAACTGAAGACGTAGTTTTAAGTGATCATCTATAAAAAAAAAAACTAAAAACGGTGGTATACCTGATTAACAACGAAAAAGTGCATTATCGGAGAAAATTATTTCAATATAATTTTTACTCATGAGATTTGAATATATAATTTTCCTAATTTATCATTTTTTAAGAAAGTAAAATATCAAAATTCTCCTTATTTTTACTCAGCTAGAGTTTTATAAAGTTCCGCTTGAATCGGACACTACCCTCTTTAATTGAAAAATTAACCTTGCAAGACACCGTTAGGTTTTAACAAACAACGTTAAAGATATTTCCGTTAATTTTCAGAAACTCTTAAGAACTTTAACCAGCGTCGATTAAAAATAAGAGGTTTTGGTTCCAAAAAACAGTATATTTTAGTTTTAGCCGGGTTATCCATATATCACCATGAAAATTTCCGTTCATTTTTCTGTCGTTTTTGTAAAACGAATTTTCCTTTAATTTTCAAAACCCTATGGTTGTTGTTAATATTTGGTCAGCCCTATGAAATACAGATGTTCTTCAAGGCTGCATGGTGTTATAAACTTTATTTTTGAATAAAAGGACAGTTTTTAGATTGATTTTATTATTGTTTTATTTGAAATTTGAAAGATAATAAATCAGAAAGATTCCAATAAAATATTATTTCTCGTCGCACTCTATCAGAATGTTGGTAGGTATCAGGTCAAACTAATATCTTGGCGGATTTTTTTAGAGAATATTAAATTCTGTATGTGACATGATTCAACAGTTTAGTTTTATTATTTGTATTTAAAACAATAGACAGTGATTTAAATATGCTTAGCAATTCTTCAAATCTAGCATATCAAGTTGGGGGTCAAGGTGCTTCTTTTAACATGCGTAATTTAATGGATGGAAAATATGTTTTTCTTTTTTAAAATGAATTATTTTCAATTGTAATTTCTCTATAAAATGGCGTTGGGATGTCCGCTAAAGAAACAATGAAAGAATTTGTTAGAATTTCAGGCTAGAAAACCTACGATGCCTTTAGATTGATCAGATAAAGGGTACTGTTCTGAATCGGACATGCGCCTTATTTAAATCACCCATTTAAAACTTACTACACCGAAGTACAAACTGGTTGATTTGGCAATATGTTGGGTCTGGTTGATTCGGCAATATTTTGGGTCTGGTTGATTCGGCAATATTTTGGGTCTGGTTGATTCGGCAATATTTTGGGTCTGGCTGATTTGGAAATATTTTGGGTCTGGTTGATTTGGCATTATGTTGGGTCTGGTTGATTTGGCAATATTTTGGGTCTGGTTGATTTGGCAATATTTTGGGTCTGGTTGATTCGGCAATATTTTGGGTCTGGTTGATTCGGCAATATTTTGGGTTTGGCTGATTTGGAAATATTTTGGGTCTGGTTGATTTGGCAATATTTTGGGTCTGGTTGATTTGGCAATATTTTGGGTCTGGTTGATTCGGCAATAATTTTGGTCTGATTGATTTGAAAAAGAATTTTTTTTTATTAATAGAAACATTTTTAAACTCTCTTAAACTTGATATTACAATTTTAGAGAGTGATGTTCTTGATAGCTGTATTTGCACTCTATTCTTCTAGGAATATTCTTTGTTAAAAGAATTTGAAATATCAAATAATCCTTTCATGACTACTAAACGTGATTTCTAAGTTCATTTTATTATTATATTTATTATAATCACTTTTAGTATTATCAAAATTATTATTTTTTGATAACTAACTAACTAACTAACTAACTAAAAGTACAAGATTTTGACTTTTTTTGCTGAGCTCAGTCTCCTAGCCTATTCTAGCACCAGCGTTTGGCCCCCTCGCTTGTACTTTTAGCACAGTTTGGCCCCCTGTCCTGTACTTTTAGCACAGTTTGGCCCCCCTGTCCTGTACTTTTAGTATAATTTGGCCCCCTGGCCTGTACTTTTAGCACAGTTTGGCCCCCTGTCCTGTACTTTTAGCATAGTTTGGCCCCCTGGCCTGTACTTTTAGCACAGGTTGGCCCACTGTCCTGTACTTTTAGCACAGTTTGGCCCCCTGTCCTGTACTTTTAGCACAGTTTGGCCCCCTGTCCTGTACTTTTAGCACAGTTTGGCCCCCTGGCCTGTACTTTTAGCACAGGTTGGCCCACTGTCCTGTACTTTTAGCACAGTTTGGCCCCCTGTCCTGTACTTTTAGCATAGTTTGGCCCCCTGGCCTGTACTTTTAGCACAGTTTGGCCCCCTGTCCTGTACTTTTAGCACAGTTTGGCCCCCTGTCCTGTACTTTTAGCATAGTTTGGCCCCCTGTCCTATACTTTTAGCACAGTTTGGCCCCCTTTCATGTCCTTTAAGCAGCACTCGGCCCTCTATCCTGTCTTTTAAGCATACAAGAATATAAGAACAAAGTAAACACTTTCTGTGGAAAAGTTTCCAAAGTAGGTTTTTACGGAGATTTCGGAATTTGTCTTAACAGTTTTTAAAGTAAAGTTTTCAGTACTTTTAAAAATATATCATAGTTTTATGATATCATTATCTCCTTCATCGTCATCTTTTTTTATAATGATTTTACTAACTTTGGTTGTTTTGTTATTGGCCAACCTTGTACTTAAAAAAATAAAAAAAATAAAAAATTGTTTTGCATTTATTAATAAAGATTAAGATTTTATAAAAATTTAATCAAAATATTTGTGTTAAAGAGTGCATTGTGTGGAATATCAGAATTCATCATTTAGGTAAACTATAAATAATATTTGCTACGGTGAGGCTTAGAAATCTGAGGAATATATGAAGATACTATTTAAGCAATCTTTTTTTGTGTGTTTTATTATACTAGATTGGGAACCCAGCTTTGCAGGGAAACTGAGCTTTCAATATATCAACTTAGAATTTTTAAACATGCAAACTAAGAACATTACAGAGTTTTTGAAGCAAATATGTCAAGCTGGATTTTTGAGTTATGATAGGATACATAATAGTACAAAAACAAACAAAAGAAACAAATTAACAGACAAATTAATGCTTCTTAATATAAAGATTTGTCTAGTAACATTTACAAACATTGTACAACTGCTGCATGCTTACCGCACTAATACAGTCATTAAATGAGTTTAACAATCGTCGTACTAATCCAAAGTTTAATGGGTCTCACTGTATATAACCTGTAAAATTAGACATGTGTAGATATTTAGACGCAGAAGAATATCTATAATCGCTTAACTTGTCTCAAACTCTGAATTTTTTTAATCTTTATATCTTTGCAACTAAGAATTTTGCTAGATCCAAAAGTTAAACTTAAAAATATAAAAGTTAATATTATCAGGTTGGAAAGATAAAAGGAATTATAAAAGGTTTAGAAAAAGTTATCTATAAAGTCTTATTTCATTTTTTCTCTAAACTATTTTATAAAAATATTCTCTTGGGAAGAGCTGGGAACTTTTGAAGAATAGATATCGGGATTAATGCTTGATCCACTCTTTTTCTAAATCTCAAGATTAAATAATGCTTGTTCTCCTTTTATTATTAATCTCAAGATTAATTAACCAATCGGGATTAAGGATATCACAATCTTAAGTTTTCAGCTCAGGGTACTCATCACGGTAATATTCAAGATTGTATATTTTATTCAAAATCGCGTAATCAGGCAATCTCATCAATGTTGTTGAATGAATTATATCAAAATGTTGAATTATTTGGTTATCCGAGCAACTAGAAATATTTCGAATTATTTATCATTTTAATCAAAAATTCTTAATGCAATTGTAAATTCAAATTGTATTCAACTTGCCAGTGATTTTTATGCAACCTGATGACCGAAAATGGCAACTTATTTTTCCTTAGTTTTAATTTTTTTTAAAAATTTATTCAAAAATAAGGTTGTGATCGCACTATTCAAGAAAACATTTAAAAATCAATTTTTTTTACTTGTGTACAGAATAATTTTCTTGATTAGCAACCATTTTCATATAGGATTCATTTTTAAAGTTAAATGCAGTGTATAGTTACCACTGCCGTTTACCCGCGATTTTAGCCATTTTTCCCGCCCCACTCGGCAGATTTCCGTGGTTTTTTCGAGTTTACCAATCAAAATTTGAGGCAAATCGGTCCAGGGGTTCCTGAGTTATGATCGGACAAACAAACACCATGACAGAGTTAACAACGAATATATTATATATAAATTAAGAAATCCTCCAAAGGTAAAAGAAAACACATTTTGTTTAAGTACGAGTGAGCATAAAGACAATATTAATTCAACATCTTTCTGGTTAACATAGTATAGAACATAATAAATCTATATTTATAAAGAAGTAAGCTCTGTTATGGTTCATATTTGTTTGTTTTACTCTACGTCCAATCAAAATACGGAAGCCCCCTGGCCAATTTGGCACTAATTTTGATAAGGATATCGATAGAACTACGTACGGACGGGAATGTTTTTTTCTGGGTTTTAAAATTCTGAATTGTGTAGGTAGAATTTTTAAGAATTTAAGTTAGTTTCAAGGCAAAGTTGGTTTCCCAAGCTAGTACTTATGTATATAAAGTAGTAATCTCTGTTTGTTTGTTTGACAAATTTTGATTAAGGAACTCGGTTAAATCACGGGGAATTCTGAATTAAGAATTAAGAATTTAAAAATCAAGTTAGTTTCCAGGCAAAGCTTGGTTCCCAAGCTAGTCAATAAAAAAACAGAAATATCCTAGAGAACTAAAACCAGAAATATCCTAGACGACTAAAAACAGAAATATCCTAGACGACTAAAACCAGAAATATCCTAGACGACTAAAAACAGAAATATCCTAGACGACTAAAACCAGAAATATCTTAGACGACTAAAAACAGAAATATCCTAGACGACTAAAAACAGAAATATCCTAGAGAACTAAAAAAAGAATATCCTAGACGACTAAAAACAGAAATATCCTAGACTATTAAAAATTTATGTAACTCAGTATTTTGCGTAATAATACATTAACATGATTCATCGTAACATAATTAATATATTTCATTTTATGAATATAAGTCTTTCCGTTATGTATCTAGGCCTATAAATACCGGAAACATAGGCAGCATAAAAAACTGAATTCTTTGTATGGGACTATGCATGGAATTTACGACCCATTTTGTGTCAAAGCTATTTTCAAATGTTTTGGTGACTTTGCAAATCATGATAAGAATTTAAACACATTGTTAGTTTTTATATATTTAGATTTTATATAAACTATAAAATTGTGTATTTTATATATTTAGATTTTATATAAACTATATAATTGTGTATTTTTCTAGTGACTCATCACAACAAAACAGTACACAACTATCAGGTTTGAATTTTAAAAACATATTATATTTTTATTTCTACAATAAACTAAAATACTAGTTATGAATGATTTATTATACGTCAATAAAATCATGTTATTTTACAGATGAATCTGATTTTATTTTAGCACCAGAGTTACAGGAGAGATATAAAGAATTAGGTAACATTGATAAAAATTAAATTTTTTTAAAGATTTATCAATGTGAAACAAGAAAAGTAATAAAATATGTATAAAAATGAAAAAATTTAGAAATTCTGTTTTTTTAATCTCTAATTAGGCTTGCGATACAGTATAGCCCCCTAAGCTGTGGACTAATTTTTTTATCAATCTTATGTGTATCAGATATTCATATAAAAAACAAATAGTTTTACTATTAGGTTGTAAATTGAGTAAAATGGAGCTGTCTGCTTTGTACACTGCATATTTGCTGTGTTTTATATTCAACGGTCGGTGTTTATATCAGTAAAATGATGATGATGATGTTCCCTATGGGTTTTGGTTTACAAGTAAACATTAAATGTTAATTGGCAGCTTTTCTTTGTTTCCATTTTTATGTGTATCCAAGCTGTTTAAAATCCTGGTAGAAATCAAAATTCAAGTAAATAGTCGTCTTCATTGTACAAATTGAAGTCGTCTTCATTGTATAAATTGAAGTCGTCTTCATTGTATAAAGTGAAGTCGTCTTCATTGTGAGGATATATACGACGACAACTGTAAGGTACGGCCTAATAATATAGAGATATTAATTTAGATGCACTTCGGCATGGTACTCGAAAAAGGCGGGAAAATTCCGCAATCAACACTCCTGAGGATTTTATGCGCCCTGAAGAGCTGGCAGAACGCTACAATTTGACACAAAACCATTCAATATTCGAGAAAAGAGCTGCGGACGAACTTATCATGGAACTAATGATATTTAGGGAAATATTTTCAAGAAAACTTTTTTAACATTCTTTTTCAAAGTCTGGATTAAAATAGATGAAAATGCAAATATAATTTAAAAGTTTTATCACAAGGAAATATTTCTAGTGATCAATCATTTTATGAATATGTACGAGAAAGGTATTTACATTTTTACTTTCATTTGTAACCCCACCAGAACCCGTTCAAAACTAACACAAGTTAAAACATTGCAAATTATTTTCTTAAATAATTCAGATATTTTCTGTAATAATTTAGATATTTTCTGTAATAATTTAGACATTTTCAGTAATAATTTAGATATTTTTTGTAATAACTTAGATATTTTCTGTAATAATTTAGATATTTTCTGTAATAATTTAGATATTTTCTGTAATAATTTAGATATTTTCTGTAATAATTTAGACATTTTCTGTTATAATTTAGATGTTTGCTGTAATAATATAGATATTTTCTGTAATAATTTAGATATTTGCTGTAATAACAATATTTTAGAAATCCTGGTTTTTCTGAGACTGAAATTCAGGCCCAGATGTCAAGCATGATTCAGACTATTGTTCAGTCAGTCCAGATGTATTTTGGTAAATTTTTATTTTTAAATATAAATGACAAAATACATCCGACCAATAAATATTTTTTTGCTAATATTACAGAGTTTACTTAAACAAGTATAATTCAATCCGGACTATACGAAAAAGAACAAATAAGAAAACGACATACTTTCGGCCTGTTTATCTCAAATAGCTTATCAGTGGCGGAAAAACTGGCATGAATGGTACTAATTACTTGCCTCAAACTCTCTTTATTTTTCTCAACCAATTTTATCTTTGCAAAGTAATGTCGTAGATCTTTGATATTTCAAACTTATGCTTAGTAAATTAGCCAATGTTAGAAATGTTTTCACCATCAAGTTGCAAAAAAATAGAGGTATTAAATTCAGAGTTTGAGGCAAGTTTTAAAATCTTTACAGGGACTGTCAATGTGATGTCATGTGATCATCTAATTGAAGATTTGCAAATAATTTCAATTAAATAGTTTTCTGAGCCAAAATAACACAAATATTCTTGTTTTGAATTTCTCTGTTAAATATTCATAGATATCTCAGAAAAGTAAAAATTAATAACAATGAATAGATAATAGACTATTTAGTTTACCATGAATTAACCAAATAATTGAACGGTCCTTCTAAAATGAAGTCGAATTAAATCAAAATTACGTTGAAATTACATCAAAATTGAATTAAATTAACGAAAACCAATTGTTTAGATGACCCCTCCTTAGATATGGGTTTAGAAATACGGATAGTTGACATTATTCAGTTGAAAGACAGGGATCTAATCCCTGCGGGAGATATCAAGGTCTACCTGGAAAAGTTAGTATTTTTCTAAAATTTTTCTTTGACTTTCTATATCATTTAGATTGTATGTTTTTTTATTGTAATTTCATATGATTAAAAAAAATGTTTAAAAAATTGTACAAAGATATATTTCACAGATTTTAGACACTGCACATTTTCACAATTGCCATTTATAGAGCACAGCAGAATTTTTCTTGAATTTTGAACATGGTATTTGATTTTTGCTTATTAACTAGATAAACTTTTAAATTCATAGTCATAAATCAACTTAACCCTTTTTAAATAGAAGTTTACTAAGACAGTCCTCTAGAAGGAGTTTATATTATTTTAGTTTCTGTAACTACCAAAGGAAGCAAAAAACTTGGAGGTCTGGACGCTGGGATCATGCGCTTCTTTTAACAGGAACTGATCTATACACTACATTTGGCAACCAACAAATGAACGGTAAACCCACTTAAAGGTTATGATCATTGATCATCTATTAAAAGGGACTTATTTGTGCACTACATTTGGAAACCATGACAAATGAATGGTAAGCATACTTAAACCCTTGGATCAAACGATTCTATTAACGCTGGGATTATGCCCGTCTATTAACAGAAATTGATCTGTATGCTACATCTGGAAACCAATTAATAAACGGTAAACACACATTCAACACTAGGATCATGCAAGCTTTAAAGAGGAACAAATGTATACATACACTACAACAACTAATACATATTGACCACAGAAATTTCAAAGTGAAGACAATAAGGAGCAATACTAACTCTGTACGTACAGTGTACAATTATACAATTGTACTCTGTACGTACAGTGTACAATTATACAATTGTACTCTGTACGTACAGTGTACAATTATACAATTGTACACTGTACCATTTATTCTATAAAAAATAATAAAATAAATATATTACTAAAAACAAGCATGTCCTGAGATGAGGTAAAAAATGTTTTCAACTTCTAAAAGATAGGGGAAACCCATAGATAGATTATTGTATCAAAGAAAAAAAAAAGAATATACAAATTCTAGTTTTCTAGGAAGTTCTGGGATGGCTTATCTATCTGGAATGTGTAGTGCGGAATATAGTTGTACAATTGCAGAAGCTAGATCTTTAGGTTCAACTTCTCTTATAGGTCAGCAGAACTATAGAACAATATTAAACACAGGACATACAAGGTGTCCCACTAAACATGACAGTTGGTGAATAGTTTTGAATGTATTTTTCCATATACTGTATTTAATATTAAAGACTTATTCGCAGTTTTTTAGCTTAAAAAATCTTTAACTCAAATTACTATATAAGATGACTCTCATAAATTATTTCTATTTTATACTCTTTGGTATCAAACAAATCATGGAAGAAGACATTTTAAACTATTCACCAACTGTCATGTTTCGTGGGACTTCAACTAAACATTATATTTTAAAGGGACTATAAGCGTAATTTAAAATGGCCTACGTTTAAATAGGGGCATCCCCGATTAACAACGGTACCATTTAAACTTTTGACTTATCATTGTTGACAAAGAACTCAGTGAATATATATATTTCTTAAATGCTGTTTGAAAACCGTAAAATTGGAGTGTACGTTACCGTACTGCGTGAACGTAGATGACGCCACAATAATTGCTCTAGAAAATCTGGAATATTCTATGTTCAACTCGGTTTTTAAAAATTCGAAAGTGAGTATTTATATTCTGCCACTTTTAGAAAGTAAATATAAATGTTCCTTGACTCTTAAACAGCTTACAAACAAAATTTGCAACAATTACGAATATTTCTGTAGATAAAAAAGGAAAATGTTGTCATCCTTGAGCAGTCAAAGGTTAAAAGGGAATGTCCCCTCTTTATTTGAACGGTCAGCATGGAACTTTCGATAACAGTCCCAATATTATCGTCTTTGATTTGAAACTGATAAGGGATTTGTGAATCAATTAATAAGTTTTTTATCTTAATTTTAATTATTATGTGCTTAAGGGCTGATTTTAGAATTTGTTTGATTTTTGATAATTTTTAATAATTTTAAAATTTTTTTTAGTGACTCATGAACTGGCACACAACCTGGGAGCTGATCATGACGGGGATAGAGACAACAGGGAACTAACAATTTAAAAAAAAAAAAATTCTTTGAGAAATTTTTTGTTGTATCTGGGATAAGGCACGATGTGCATGGTGTTTAGTAAAATTGTCCCACATATCAGTTACGCCAAATAGGGCCTTCCCGTTGAATAATTACATTTGTTCCTATGTTAATAGTTGTATATTGTGTTAAATATTGAAAACCTTGCCAAAAAAACTTAAAGGAACTGAGTTTTTGTCACAAACTCTGATTTTCGAATCTCGATATCTGTGCAACCCGATGTTGTAGACCCTTGATATTTCAAACTATGAATTCTGTTAGATTAAAGTGTCAAAGTTTGAAATATATAATGTTTACACAATCAGGTTGCAAAGATATAGGAATTAGAAAGTTTGACTTTTTGGTAAAAACTCAGTTCCTTTGGATTTATTTCTCACACAACCCTTAAAATAATTAATTTGTTTTCTTTCTAAAGAGAATGTAAGAGAGAAGGTTATATTATGGGACCAATGCTTGGACCTGGGGCCAACACATGGTCGTCATGCACTCAAAGGTTAAATTTTATTTTCCATTTTAAAATTCCAATAATTACATTAATTTATATGTAAAAAGAAATTCCAAGAAAAAACGCTTTTTTGACAGTTTTTAATTTAAGGTCGTCTTCATTAGCTAACGGGCACTGCAAGTGTTGACCTATTTATTCTCTGAAATCTGTTATTTCGCAATAAGCATACAATATGTGTACAATTATTATGGCGACAGTCAGTTCTTACAGTTAAACCCTAATTGTAAGCAATTTACATCGAAAGAATTTATCAAATATCGTCTTGACAATTTTTCAATGGGTTTTGTATACTATTTACGTATATATCAGTATTTGCGAGAATAAATAAATAGCTATGAATATGCGGGAACAGTTTTAAAGAGTTCCATATAATCATTTAATTAAAAAACTAAATATCTGCAACATTCCATTATCAGAAAGTAAAGAATACGACATTTGAATTCGATTTATGGCTAATTTATGGTATAACTGTATGAGAAAACAATTTTTGAAGACTTTCTTTTATGACACTTTTTGAACACTTTCTTTTATGATAATTTTTAAACACTTTCTTTTATGACAATTTTTAAACATTTTCTTTTATGACACTTTTTGAACACTTTCTTTTATGACACTTTTTGAACACTTTCTTTTATGACACTTTTTGAAAGGAAGTCGTCTTTTTATGCTGACTGGCATTCCAATTTGATACCTTAATATACACTTTCTGAGATTGGTGATTCGCAATAAGGATGCAATAATGCAATATGCTTCCAATTATTACAGCGATAGTTTGACACAATTCGAAGAACAATTTTTTTTATGACATTTTTGACATGAGGTCGTCATCTATGCTAAATGGAACACAGATCCAGAAAAGAGTACGTTTGGCCAAACATTTCAGTGCCAATTAGTTTAAGAAGACGACCTCCAGTAAAAAAGTATCAAAAAGAGATTGTTTTTATCAGTTCATGAATTAAATTACAAAATACAATTTTGTAATCTGCAACTGAACTATTCCTACAGAAGTGTCCTGAACATTTTTAAATATTCTAAAATAATTGCAACATACAAAGAAAAATTATATTTCTCAATAAAAATTTCTGATCTCACTTTAGTTATAATTTCAGGCAAATAAATGACTTTGTGAAGAGTCTTCCAAACTTCAGATCAGGCAACTGCCTGGACAACACTGTTACAGGAGGGCTAGTTTATAACAAGCAAGGTATTTAGGAATGATGTATATAATCATTAGGATGCTTAAATTTGTGTAAACGTAAAACTTGTTTCAGAAATCTTAAATGCCGACTTTAGGAACTTTAACTATATATAAATTTGGCTTGTCTGTCTGTTTGTCTGGGTGTCTGTCTGTTTGTTTGTATCCAATAAACGTCAAAACGGCTGAACCGATCGGGCCCAAATTTTTTGTGGGACATCACGTGACCACAGGAAAGGTTTATGAATGATAAAAATTTTAAAAATTTGTCTGTTTGTTTGTTTGTATCCAATAAACGTCAAAACGGCTGAACCCATCGGGCCCAAATTTTTTGTGGGACATCACGTGACCACAGGGAAGGTTTATCAATGATAAAAATTTAAAAAATGTATTTTAAAGGTTTTTAATTTTGTAAAAAAAAATTAAATTCTTGAAAATCCGCGAATTTTTTTTTTTAAATCCGCAAAAAAATTTTCTTCTTTGTTTTAAAATGTAAGCAAAAAGAACATGTTCACAATTTAAATAGAAGTAGGGCGCGAAGCGCCCTAAAAGCCGAGTGAATACAAATTTTTCAATAAAAGAAAACATCAAAATATGTTTAGCTTCATCTATAATATAAAAAGGTCTTTCATTTGCTAAGCGATCTTTGTTTGATAAAATAGTGTGTGTTGTGTAACAGTGTAAATGATTTATAAATATAATAATTCAACATGATTTACAAAAAAAATAATTTAGCAAAATTAATCTAGAATATATTATATGTAGAAATGCCGGGGATAAAGTTTGATGGCGAAGCTCAATGCAATTATATGTACGGAAAAGGTAAAAAATGATACAAACTGAAAATGTGCAGAACCTAATTTACGATTTAAAATTTAATATTTAATATTTCTTTAATTTTAGATTGGCATTTTTATACCGGCGCTATAGGCCCCAGGTAACAAAAAATCATTATTTACCCTACACTCTTTTAATTTTTGCACAGAATCCCTTTAAGTAAAGAAACAGTCCCACAAATACTAAAATCTGATCTGATACCTGCAGCTTGGACGCACTAATTCAATAAATAAGAAGAGACACTCAGTGATGACGCACATTTGAAACGAACTTTTCAGAGCCGGTTAACACGACACTTAAAAATGTGACATATGTATATTGCACATACAAAATACATGGCTTTAAACATATAGAACACAAAATGATTAACATTTACGTATTATACACATGGGATTTAAGAGACGAGTTTAAAATCGTCTTTGTAAAAAATTAGCGTTGTGTTACCAAATTTCAATGGTCAAAATAAAGTGACATCTGCTGCAGTTTAATTTATTTAAACGCTAAAAAAATGTTTTGTTATTCTGAAAAACGCTGTATGGATTCCCTTGTTTATTGGGACACCCTGTATAAAAACATTTTAGTACTTTGATTTACCAAAAATGAAATTAAAGTTTTCTATCAAAGAGGCAAGGGATCCTTATATATATATATATATATATATATATATCTATAAAATGAAAGTTTACAGGACGAAACCACAAATCATAAAAATATCATTTTTTTATTACAGTCAAATAAATGACCCTTGTGAATCTCTCTGGTGCCGATTTAGATATCAGCTCAAAACTCCGAATGCCCCAGCTCTGCAAGGTAAGATTTACTAATTACTTGCTTAAAAATGTAATTTTCTAATCCCTAAAACTTTTATATATTTATAGGAACTGAATGTGGAATAGGAAAAGTTTGTTACAGGTTAAAATTAAAAATTCATCATTTAAAAACATGATTTTCAGAAATGTTTTTGCAAAGCTTATTCAAAATTGTCCCTACTAGAAATTCAAGGCGCTTCGAGAAAAAAATGTTGGGAATTTTTAAAAAAAAATCGCGGATTTTCAAGAATTTATTAGTTTTTACAAAATTAAAAACCTTTAAAACACATTTTTTTTAAATTTTTTATCATAAACCTTCCCTGGGATAACGCGAGGTGCCACAAAAAAGTTGGGCCCGATCGGTTCAGCCGTTTTGACGTTTATTGGATACAAACAAACAAACAAACAAACAAACAAACAGACCAGCCAAATTTATATATAGATAAAGGGGTGAACCAAAGCAAACACGAAAAAAATTAAGATACTAAATTGTGAGTTTTCTTTGTTGTAAAAAATAGTTTTTAAACAGTTTATATTGTTTGTTTCAGTTTGAATAAATAAATACAGATTACATAAAGATATATTATTGATAACTCGTCTCAAACTCAATTTTTATTCCTTTACCTGTGCCAACCATTAGGGCGTAAACCTTTGTTATTTCAAACTTTGGAATATCGATTTAATGATTAGAAAAATAAGATTTTAAGCGAGTAATAATTTCCTTTTTCTGAAAAGTCTGACACCAAATGACAAGTATCTAATGTTAAGAGGGGGTTGTCGCAGCGCGAGCGAGATCATGTCTTCAGAACAAATAATTGAACAAAATATACCAACAACAAGAACTACAGAAACAACAAGAACAGCTCAACCAACCACAACAAGATCAACAAGAAGACCATCAGAAAGAGAACAAGCTATCTGTGAAATTATGAGATTCTTTAATCGAAACTGGCCTGGATGCAATTAAGACTATCACATCTGTTTTTTATATTTTGAGACTATATATAGACATGACTTCAAGTGACTCTTTAATCAAAGAGTTGAATTCTAATTCACAATGAACCCACTACTTTATGTAATCAATAATGTGTTTAATTCTGATTATTTCATGCATTATTTTCTGTTGCAGAAACTCGCCGGTCACTTTTATAAAAAATTGAAAGTTATCAATTTTCAAAATCTAAATCTTGGTCCTATGCATTGCCTATTCATTACCGGACTTGTGTCTCTTTAAGTATAGGGTCACTTGAATTACATCAACTGTCTCTTTAAGTATAGGGTCACTTGAATTACATCAACTGTCTCTTTAAGTAGAGGGTCACTTGAATTACATCAACTGTCTCTTTAAGTATAGGGTCACTTGAATTACATCAACTGTCTCTTTAAGCATAGGGTCACTTGAATTACATCAACTGTCTCTTTAAGTAGAGGGTCACTTGTATTACATCAACTGTCTCTTAAGCAATTCACAGCTGTTTATAATTATTTAAATAATTGTTGATATTATATATTTCAGAACAACATAAGTTTATTTAAAATAGAATAATTAAAGCAATTATCATAAATATAAAAAGATAATTAACTTAATTATCAAAGTGTAATTAATATACAATATTTACCAAGTTTAACACAAAACATTAAAATATTTATAAACATATAGAGTTACCCTAGCCCCCCAAAATATAAGACTTTAAGGATAACCTGGATCTCACTTCAGGGCCTGAGGCCAGATCTTTTGTGTTGAAAATTTAGGGATCAAGCATGCATTGATCTCCTCGCGTGCAACTTACCGATTAATTTTGCTCCGTATAGTGATCATGTCTGATCAAGCGTTGAAGATCCATTTTAAACAAAAATTTCAACTTCTGAAAATATATTTATTTGGGGTTTCTGCCTTAAATATATTCTTCCAATGGTATATTGAAAGTTTTGGCTTTATAACAACAATTTCATAGCTCTAGGGAATCATAGACGAATACTTTAGAATGGTTGATATCGAGATCAATGCTTGATCCTTTCTTTATGATAATCTCAAGACTAAATTAGTGGTCAGATTAACTTCTAGAGATTAGAGATGCGCTCTTTAACTTTTGAAAACCGGTTTTTAATTTTCCCGCATTTATGGTGTCATATCAATTGGACTAATGATCGATCGAATGAGCGTAAGTTTTGAATTAATGTTTATTAAGACTAACGTTCAAAAGGACTTTAGTCCATGTGATAAATATGTTCTTTAAGAAGTTCATATGAACATGATTAAATTTATATTTGTTTAAATACTCTAAAAGCCGGCTTGGGAACAGCTGACTTTAGTTCCATCGGATATTAGTCTAATCGATAAAGCATCATATCTGTATTTTTATTTAGATTTACATAAGATGAGATATATTTGATACCAAGATTTAAAACACACAAATTCTGACTTCAGGAATGCACGTAATCAAGGACAAAATAAATTCTGTACAGTCGTCTTTTAAGCCTCATTCTTTGTGGGTTACAATGTATAAATTATAGCATATCGTATATCGTATCTGGAGGTAGGATGGTTGGATACCTTGGATATATGAAACTGGAGGTATAGGATACTGGTGGTAGGATGTTAAAAATATGATGATTGGTAAGGTACTGAAGGTAAGCTGGTATGATGGACATAGGAAACTGGGGGTATATGATACTGCAGAGATATGATACTGGAGGTATGATGTTAATAATATGATGATTGATATGATACTGGAGGTAAGATTCTGGGGCGTATGAATACTAAAGATAACACACTCCATCCACTCCTATCTAACAGCTAATGTATGCTATCACACTCCATCCACTCCTATCTAACAGCTAATGTATGCTATCACACTCCATCCAATCCTATCTAACAGTTGATGTATTAAACTCCATCCACTCCTATCTAACAGTTGATGTATTATACTCCATCCACTCCTATCTAACAGCTGATGTAGTACACTCCATCCAATCCTATCTAACAGCTAATGTATGCTATCACACTCCATCCAATCCTATCTAACAGCTAATGTATGCTATCACACTCCATCCACTCCTATCTAACAGCTAATGTATGCTATCACACTACATCCACTCCTATGTAGAGTAAGTTTATTGCAGATATTAACCGAGGTAAGTCAAAATGAAGCCAACATTTGTAAGCTTCAAAACCAAGTTTCGGATACCGATTTTAATGAACAAAAACAAAAATTAAGTCAATTAGAAAATAGTCTTTCTGAACTTACAAATAGGTTAGATACAGTAAGACAGGCAGATTTAAACTTAAAAATACTTTCGGAAATCAGCAAGAATGAAGGCGACATCCAGGTAATAAAAGAACATTTATCCAATACAGTGGCCGAATTTAAAGAATTTGAGCGGCGGTTTAAATCTAAGCCGCGGCTTAAATATGGTTGGTTCCACTTAAAATTGTATCAAATGTTTCAAGATTTAAGCCGGCGCTTAATTTAAACCGGGTTTTGGCAGATTTAAACCGCGGCTCAAATTCTTTAAATTCCATCTCAGGTAACTTAAATGATCAAAAAGAAAAATTACAACAAATAGAGACAAATCTAATGGAACTCACAAATAAAATTGAAACACAACTCCAAACAGTTTTAAGCACTAGACCCGATTATGATGCAAAATTATCAGGAATTTCCTTAAAAATAAATAAATTACTTTCCGAAATCAGTGAGAATGAAGACGACATCCAGGTAATAAAAGAACATTTATCCAATACAGGTAATTTAAATGATCAGAAAGAAAAATTACAACAAGTAGAGGCAAGTCTGTTAGAACTAACAAATAAAATTGAGTCACAACTTCAAACAGTTTTAAGCACTAGACCCGATTATGATGCAAAACTATCAGAACTATCTTTAAAATTAAATGAATTAAAACTTTCTGACAAAACTACAGATAACTCCAGAGTAAATTCGAAAATTGAAGAATTAGAAAAAAGTGTATTCAATATTTTGAATTCTAAAGTACAAAAAAGTGATGAACATAATTCCGATTTATTGACATTAAAAAATAACATTGCAGAGATAAAATATTCTATTTCAAATAATATTCAACAACTATGAAGATAAAACACATTTACTTTCAATTGTTTCTCCCTTGCAAAACTTACAATTGGAAATTGACTCTTTAAAGATAAAAATTGAAACCATGAATCAAGGATCTTCAATTACCAAAGTAAATTCTGAAGAAAAAAAACCTTTATCTAACGAGCAAGATTTACTTGATCTTTTAAATAATGCAATTTTTGACTGCAGAAATATTAAAACTTTACTTTCAAATTCAAAATCATCAATTTTTTTACCCTCCATCTTGGATGATAAACATATAAGCTCTTTAAGCATTAGTGCTTTACAACCCAACAGTTTTTTTCTACAGTGGGATTATTATGATGATTTGTTTTACGAAAATCTCATAATTCCATTGCCAATTTGTGATGAAAAAAGATGTTATTACTTTTCAAAAAATGGATTTGGAAATGAAACTGGATTCTATGATTCAGGAAGGTGCACATATATCGTTGAGAATGAATATTACTGTAACTTTAAAAAAGAAAAAATGTTTTGCGCTGAATACGAACACGATTGTGAAATTGTCAAAAGTACAATGACATTTCATGATCCATTAGTCCTTAACGATACACACACTTTACTGTTTACAAAGAATCCTACAATTATAAAAAATGATTTATTTATTGAAAAGCTTGATTTGTTAACTAATTATATATATCTTTTAATATCTTATATAATTATATCTTTTAATCTGAATACAATGTTTTTTATTAACAACATGGAATACGATGCTGATGGTTTTGATCAAAAAGAACAAATAAAGTTGACTAAACTTATGATGATGGAAAAACATTTTTTGGACTTTAAACATATACAATATAATTGCCGGGATTGCAATTTTTAGTCTTGCAAGTCTAATTATTATATTTACAACAATCCTAGCTGTTAAAAAATGCAAAAAACAAAATGAAAACACTGCAATACAAATTAACAGATCTAGAATATATTACAGTGCTTCTATAGACAGCAAACTTCTTCGCTATAATTTTAAATGTATGTAATCTGTAATATTTAATTATATTTTTAAACATATTTTTGGGACATCTTTATTGTAAATAATAACAATTTTTATGACTGATATGATACTGGAGGTTGGCTATCCTCAACTATTTTCTCCAATTTCTGCATTAAATCATTGTCTTGCATACATCCCTGATGAATAGTATAAAATTAATATAAAATTATTTGACCATACAGGGTTACTCATAAAATATGAGACTTCAGAAAAAAAACGTATAAAATTTGCTGTATCAACTTTGTTACATTTATGATTTTCTGTCAATTTCGTCAGAGCCCCGATATAGTTAAAACTTGGTTGTATTAAATATGGTGTACACGTCGATCTTGAAGTCTCAACCTTGTTAGATTATAAGTGTTCCTTAACTAGGAATGTTAACGTTTTAATTTTTTTTGAAAAACGATCGTTTCGTTATAAAAACGACGAAGAAAACTCGAAAACGAAACGATCGTTTTTAAAACGATCGTTTTTTAAAACTTCGTTTTTTAAAAATGGTCGTTTTTAAAACGATCGTTTTGAAAAATGATCTTTTTTGAAAACGATTGTTTTTTAAAACGATCATTTTTATAAAACTCGTTGTTTCGTTAACGATGAACCTTCGTTAAGGATCGTTAACAAAGACTAGGAAACCGACCTGAAGGGCATCTGTACTTATCATTGAGTAGCTTTTAAGAAAATATCAAGAAGTTTTAGATCCCCCATAACTCTTCGTCGTTTCGTTAACGACAACCCTTCGTTAACGATTGTTAACGACGACTGTTTGTTAACGATTGTTAACATAATTGTCAATAAATTTTTTTTCAAAACGATCGTTTTTTTTTAAAGCGATCGTTTTTTTAAAAGCGATCGTTTTTTAAAAAACAATCGTATAAAACACGGTCGCAAATCGTTTTCATAAAAACGTTCGTTTTCTAAAAGTTTAAAACGATTAAAAAACGAAGCAATAAACCATCGTTTAACGATCGTTTTCAAGAACGATTAAGAACCCTATATAACTCTATGCAAACTGCACAGTGCACATATAAGACACACAAAGGATGAGACTTCAGAGACGAAAAGCGACTGTACGAAAATTATCTGTTAGTGTTTTCTTATATTCCTAATTTCTACAACTTTAAACTTGTTACTTCTTTGTAAAATCATATGAAAGCTATTAAAAGACTATTTTCAAGGCAGAAGTCTTTATTTAACCTTGGAATCGACATATTTTAAGAGTTTTAGGTCGTCTTTGCCGTCTCATCCTTTGTGGTTAACTCTGTAACTATATAGTTAAAAAGAATGCTAATTTAAAGGGAACTATGGACGTATTTTCAAGTAGCCTATAATTTGCAGAGCAGAGTTTTTATTCACTCTTCTAGAAGTTTTGGAAATAAATATTTACATTAAAATTTTTAAAACAGCGTTGTAA